TGGTGTTTGAGAGTGTATAGGAGAAAAGGAAGACACCAGAGTGTGATTAGGTAACGCACGCCATCCTATTCTCCTGCTCTCTCAAAATACGAGCGGATTGCGCCGATCGATACCCGTCTACGGCTGCGTTCCCGTATAGTAATGGAGCGCTACTGCACGGTAGCTCATCGTAGCGCGTCTACGCGCGCTACCGTTCATCGGCAAGTCTGGACGCTGGCGAACAGATTTATCAGACGTTTACACATTTCTTTGCCCGGACGCGCGTGGAGTTCTGCTTAGAATTCGGCTGAATTCAATTTCCAATCCAATGTTGTTCTCTTTTTGATTAGCTCTGCTTTCTCAAGTTCTGGACCTTATAGGTGTTACGAAACGCGAAAGGTGAAGAATTGTCACCGGTATCGTTTGGTGGGATTTACTTACCGCTGGAATGTCCTTCGGATCAGTGTCATAGGTAAGTTGCATGGATGAGCAGCTTTTTCTTGGCTTCTTGTTTTCATTCTGGTATCTTTAAACAATCCTTTCAAAGGTCCCCACTAGTACTGTGTTACGACTCGGCGCATTTTTCTCCACTCGTTCCAATGAGGCATGACTCATCACAAATGCGTGAGTTCTTTTTTACAAATCTTCGAGTGGTTAGGTCGCGTTCATACTTAGCGAATATCGCGAATCAGATATTTCGGAACTCCGGAGGGTGAGCGTTCAGAACCCTGTGCGGAAAGGTAAGTGTAGATGTTGGTCTGGCGATTACAGCTCTGTTTGCTGCGGTCGTTGAGGCGTTTGAGGGGGGGGGGGGGCTGGGTTTTACGCTGTGCCAGCTTGTTCTTCCTCAAATATGGAAGCTGGCGGGATCACAATTAGTCTGAAACTGGCTGACGACATCAAAGCTCTCCTCTTCTGCCCTCCGCCGGGCTGAAACGCCCAACATCCGCAGCAAAAAAGACTGAAAATGCCCGCTCCGGGAGAATCCGTGGTTTCGGGGAGTAGCCGACAAAGGATCAAATAGGATTCGATTGTCTCCACCTAATAGCGAGCTCGCTATCCGAATACGAGTGGTTAGGGGCACCAGAATCACGGATTCGCTACGAATACTTCTCTTCTATCGAAGATACTCCGCAATCTCAGATTTTCCATTTCTGCAGCTTTTCAAGGCCCTCTTCGGTCAGCGGGGCAACGCCGTGGGCCGTCGGCGGGAGGAGAGAGAGTCCAGTTCGTGCCTTCTTAGATAGTTCTTCTTGCTAATCCGTGTTAGATTATTATCATATTAATTTTGTATGTAACCTCTTGTGAAGCAACACAAAATGGTTACACGCTATGCCTCTTTCGGTCTGCAAGAATTTGCCAGCGGTGGCCTAAGTAATTTACTTGTAGCTACGATTATAGTGACCCCACTGAGCCGATACTTTGCCGTTCTACAAACATTCCGAAGTTATGAACGCCGGCGTTCATACTGAATTTGTGACCGTGACGGATTTTCGGCACCGTCTAACAGGTTAACATTGGTATGGAGATAATACCGATCACGATATGTAACAGAAATTTGCTTCCGGTACATTTCGTCATCGATCCAGGACCGGATTTCAGCTGGTAAGTTTATCAGCCTCACTTTGTTATTTCCCCATTTTTTGGAGAATAGACAAAATTTACTGTTCTGTCAGGCAAGCGTGTGCTTCAACAAGCCAGATAAAGTAAGATTCCCTAAACCTAGAATGATAATATCCTTTAGTTTATCGCTTCTCTAGATGAGTGCATGATCTAAAAAATTGTGAATGTTGTCTTTCGATCGCTATCGGGGCAAGCGGATGAAAAACGTGTGTTGTATTTGAAGGTGAGTGAGACCGAAGCAAGACGCTGTCGTATGGCTGCCCGTTCTGGGCCGAGCGACGGCGATAAGCTGGCGGTTGTTGAGTGCTAATATATGGATCTGTGTGAAATGGATGTGAGGACGGGGAAGCTGTTTAATGGGAAAAACAGCGACCGCATTCGTACGACACAACCGACAACAGCTATGGATAAGAGCATGACGCTGGCTAGTAGTGGTAAGATTTCCTTCACCACTCTAAATACTGTTAGATATACAATTTTTTGAATGGCGAAGAGGTCGGGGAAAACGCCCATTGTGTGGAGGGGAGGTTGGACATACAAAACTTGCGATTTGTCGCGTCGTCGGCCACGAGATATTGCGCGGCCACGCGCGGCAGTTTTGGCTCTTCGATTAGAGCGGGCTAAACTTATTTGGATTCCTCACGCTCAAACGACATGCCAGGGCACTCGTCTGTCGGGCGCGCGTCGTTCGCCGGCGGGGCATCTTGCGATTGTCTCGTAACATACCCACGGCGCGGTAAGACGTTCCAGAGGTGGCTGTCATTTTCTGGGTAGTACCGGCAAACTGGGTGAGCATCACGATAGACGGAGGGGGCGGGGTGTCAGTACGAGATTTCGGCGCTGTCTAGCGACGGCGGGGGGCATTTTCTGATAAACATTGGTTCCCTAGTTCCGCCTGTTACGAATCTCACCATGGTAAAACTTGTGAACGCCTGTGAAGCTGGAGTAAGATCGTCTAGCCACCATCCTAAAACGTGTCAACTCGAGAAAAGGCTACCTAGATGGGTCGGCACATCTATGAAAAGCCGAATGCCCCCCCCCCGTCGACAAACTGCCGCCCGATTTTTTCCACACTAGTACGACGGCTCCTTTTTCCCCATTCTATCTACCTTCTTTTCAAGTTTTCCGAATTCCCAACCGTGTTTTCTGAGCCAGGTACACGAGCCCAGTGTAGTAAGAAAGAAACGGCCATTATGCCTTTTTCCTTAGCGAGGAATGCAAGTCTGTCATCTATCTCCGCCCACATAATCACCATGGGTTGAACCTTGAAAGGAAGTTATCACTTACCGTCAATGAAAAATGGCTTAAGTTACTTCCCCCCCCCCTCCAGAAGCTCACCCTATCCACTTTAGACAGTGAAAAATTCGACTTACGGTGGGGCACTTATCCCGCTCTCTAGTTCCTTTTGTTAGTTTGGTAATATGTTCTCTAGGAGGTCTCAATTCGATGAGACCTGTAAACTCAAGCTATTGAGTCACTTTGTTCGCAGAAACTTGCAGGTCTTTACAAGTTTGCTTGTAAAGGCTTCGCTGAGTGCCATTTGGTGCCCCCACCAAGCAGATTGCGTCTCGAAAATCTTTTATGATCAAGGTATTTCGTTTGATAGTGGGGTGTTCAGGTGTGTCAGCATGTACGCAAGAGAAGAAACGTATTTTCAATGAGATTACGCAGCAATTTCTGCGCACGTTCCGTCTGTCGAATGGCAAAAACAAGGAAAATGGCATCGATGCACGAGTGAGTCCCTTTTAGCTGTTCACGGTATTCTGCTCCAGAAAACCATTTTTGAATTCAGACATGTGCAGCGGATTTGTCGCGGTCGAACTGTTTGATCGCGTCACGTTTGGTGTCGTCATCGCATGAATATATGGAAGAAATGGTTCGCGAGTATATGCGTAGCGCTAGGGAAAGATTTTTAAGTTCCAAGCAGGTTACGGTGAGTTTTTGGTGATCATTGTCAATATACTCTTTATTATCTAATGTAGGAATTCCCCCTCTCTCTATTTTTATTTTTTTGGCCTCTAGGTCTCTGGACTCCCCGACAGCGGGGCTGTCGGAACTTACGTTACGTTAATCTTATCAACCAAACTTGGAAAGAATTGTCATTGTGCGGGGAAAGGGTTTGGGAGGGGACGGTATGAGGTTAGACCGATCGATCAGCTATCAGAATTGGTGACTTTGCGGCGGAGGCAACTAGCGGCGGTGGAAAAGGGGTGGGGGTACAGAGCGCGCGTGAAAACGGGAAAATCAATAGTCGGAAAATTTCTGGACCAAATACGACGTCGCTTCTCTGCCGAGACTAAATACCACCTCCCCTCTAGAAGTCGAAGTACGACCAATCTTCAACCGGGTGGAGGGGGGGGGAGTGGGAGAGGTGTTGAGATGCATCCTCCACAGAAACCATTAAAATGGCTTCCAATTTCTTGGTGTGCACACAGAATCTGAACAAGTCAACTGTCACTGTTATGACACATTCCGCTATAACCGGGTTGTGTCTTCTTCCCTCTCCTTGGTTGTGTCTTTTCGTCCTCCTTATCTCTAGGAAGAGGGGCATGCCGATAAGTGAGAGAGAATGGCTGTGAGTCTCCACCCATCGCGGTTATCACCGATTTGGTATGTGAAACATCAGAGACATCGGTCCGCGTGGAGAACTTGTATATTTGAATACTCGAAATACAACTTGAAGCTCATTTCTGCTTGGTAGGGGCATCAAATGGGGCTCGCAAAGCATACACAGGCCACCTTATAAAGATCTGTAGACTCTTGTAATCGACGTGGCTTACTTGTATCGTTTCACAGATTCATAAGGGTTCACAAATCCCACCAAAGTGAGATCTGTTAGTTAACAGGAAGTAAAGCAAAAGAACTAGCGAAAGTGCGAAATGCCCCTCCCGTGCCGAGCAGCGCCAAATTTGATATTTATAATCCTGTTGGGTAGATAAAAACATTCGAGGATCTCTTATAGCGAGCAGTTAAGTGAGACTATTTCAGCCATCTAACGGTCGTAAGCGTATCAGCCGATCGTTCAGTGCCTCATCGTTGATGATCACTTGCATAAACCAGTACTGTGGAAAGGTTTGTGATTTTGGCATACTGTAGCCGTCTAATTTGTGCATTGTCCTGCACTTAGTGCATTTCAGCCAGCGCTGCAAACCAACAATTTCCTTTGCCGTGAATGCTTTGAACATCAGAAGGAACAGATGACGTCGTTCAACTGTGAAAATCCGCATCTTCTGAGACGACTTCCGGCTGCAGTGGTGTCGACGACGGCGAAAAGTACGACCATGCCCGCTATAGCGACCCCTACACGATGTACATCGCGTGATATGTTGCGTACAGCTGTCCAGCCAACTGCTCCTCGTCCTGCTCCAGTGCTGGGTGTGACCAGAGAAGGCATGAGCACGACCACAAGGTGGGACCTTTTCGTCTTTCATCCTTTGTACTGCCCGACTTATTTGGGGGTCCATTTCAGTATCTCAACGATCGAAGGCGAAAATGGCGTGACGCATTACTATGTGGCCGGAGAGGATCCGCCGGTACATCTATCACCATCGCATGCCTCATGCGCTGCTTCACAGTCGATGTCGTCGCCGGTTCATATCGCCACGCTGTCACAACTCGCCTCGTAGCCTCGTCGGTTAACGTCCTCTGCGCGGTAGAGAAGCGCCAAATGACGTGATCTATTCGATTTTTGCGCTTTCCGTCTGTGATTTCTTTCGCTTTCTGCCAGAATTGCTACAGAGTAATATTTATACGTGGTTTATAGATGAATAAATATTTGCTGCTAGGAAGGGTCAGATTGCCAGGGTGTTATGTCACCGACACCGGAAATATTGCTAGAAAGCTCAGTTATGCCTGAGAGCCGCAGAAAGAGCTGTAGTGCTTGGATGGGTCAGGAAAACTACCCCCTAGGACCTCACTGTGGAGAAAAGTAGTGGAGGTGTTTTCATTATTAAACGCGCATTACGTGATAGCCGGAGGGGTGGAAACTGAGGGCATTTCATGCGCCTCATCCCCCCCACGCTTTCTCTAGGAAAAACAACTGCAAACCCAAACAACAGTTTGTAGAACGACAGCGACAGGCACAACAGGAATTTTAAGCTGTATAGCCGCAGTTTGTAGAGCGCAGTTCGTACTGGTCGTGTGGGCGGAGCCGGGCCCACCACTGAGTGTTCCTCATTGGTGTGCTCCTTCCATGAACGGTATTGGGAATGTGGCGCGATGGTATGAGACCACCTTCCTCGTCCCACCTATTATCTTCCTGAGCTGTCTTAACACCCATATTCCCAGCTTCCCAAGAAACTTCCAGTCCTCGCACCGAAAAACTGCCATTCGGCGGAAAGGCGGGGGTCTTCTCATCGGAAATAGTAATTGCAGGAAATTTTGGCGGCGTCTCCAACTTGGGACGGAGGGGTACGTAAGCTATGTAGGACCTTTAATCTCAACGATGAGAGAGCGCGACTCCTCACGCTGGAGATATAAATAGCGTGCATGAAGCAGGAAAAATAACAAAATAATTCTCAAGCCCACATTCCACCGCCCTCTGGCGGCCAAATACGGCTCCGTGGATTTCGCAGCGCATGATGTACCCCTGATCATACAATGCAGTAGAGCTCATGCCATTGAAGAAACCAGTTGGTTACAGATCTTGTCCACTTTATCGCCGTGGAATGCATTTTTAAATTCACCTGAATGTGTAGGGCTGTTGCCACGCCTACTTATCAGTGCTGCCCACAGTGCTGCCATGATTTTTCTGACACAAATTTACACCTTCTCCCGAATGGGAGGGGGCATTCCACACCAAATGCTGAGCTTTTATCGATCTTTCCGAGATATGCTCTAGATTTGGTTTTCGCCCTGAATCATCAAAGTATTTGACTGAGTGCTAGGCTAGGCGTTCACTTCTGAGAGCGGGGCCTTATTCGCATCATACCACACCAATGATTCCGACGGCAGTAACCTCTCCAAGAGAGGTGAGCTTATTGCCATGGGCGGGATCCGATCTGGCGAGCTGTGTCAATGCAGTTCAGCACCTCTAACCGCTACACTGCTTTGGTGCAGTTTTTTTGGAAGATAAATCTGGGTAGACCACAACAAGGGTAGACCACAACCTGTCTGTCAGGAGACCTTCTTAACGGGAGAGTTTTTGATGGGTTAAAGTAACGTCGAGAGGACACAGACGTGCAGAGAGAGTGTGTGGCACTGTCTCGCCCACTAGTCGTCTCAGCTACCAAATGTCTTTCGTATCAAAAATATCTGCAATAAGAGTTTTGATCGAATGATATATCAAAGAGAGGGTCTCTTTGGTATTCTAAGATTCATTTGAAGGTTATTACAATGTTACAACTGAACAGTACAGTACAACGTAGACCAACATATACACGCAAGAGAAGCACGGGGATTACAATAATTAAGTGGATTTTTCTATGAAATGAGTACAGATGACGATAATTTACTAAAAACGATACAAATACACAGAGATGAAATACGAATGGATGAAATGAACATACAAGAAGTACACCTGAGGTCCGTCACGCACCAACCGCCGCCGAACGCGCGGGGGCTAGAGTGCAGACGACCAGAGATATGAACGATTCACGCTCACTCTGCGTCTTTTTCATTATCGCAACAAAAAAGTGCGACTACCACAATTGTTGATGTACGTTTTGTTGAGCTGAAGCTTGTCTTTTCCTATAAAATATCTAAACTACGAAATTTTTGGGTCTAATATAATATGTTAGGGCAGGAGTGAGCTGCGTAAAGAGGAGTCAACGCATGGTCTGCAACTACGGACCGACTATATCATACAACGTCGACTTCAAATATAATAACAACATTTTTGAGTACTCACAAACACATGTGAAAAATATAATGGAAACTTTTCTTTGCTAGGTAGAAAAGTCACAACGGGCTAGGGATGAAGTGAGGGGTGGTTGCACATGGCTCACAGTTGATGGGCGGAGCTTCGCATGTGTGGGAGGGGTTAGATATCGACCGCATCCTCGGAATCGGTCTCGGAGCTGGTTTCATCGACGATTGACATGATGACTGACTGTGGATTCTGCAAAATAAGAGTATGATGAATGCGAGCGAACTGCAAAACGTGTGACAGTGGCTAGCAACTCGCCCATGTTTGGACGGGACGAGTTGATGGAAATCGGGCTCAGAGTTGCGTGCTTATTTTGCAGTTTGTACAGAATTTAAAATGCGGGCGATACGCGTCCTTGGCGTATCGCTGGCAAATGAGCGCCGGATTAGTGTAGGCAACACGCCACGCACCAAACGCACACTTCGGCTGACGCCGCATTACGAACGAGTCTTCTGTTTCACAAGTCAACTACCCGACTCGTTCGCGCGGATGTCCGTCGAATAGGTTGTTTCTTGACGCTCGTCTCGTCTCTCCTTATCGCTGAGTCCATCCGAATGCATTGCACCTTGCTCGAGAGATCTCTCCAAGGATGAGGCCATAGTCGACGACGACGTCATCATTATAAGTTCACGTCTCCTGAAAGTAACGAGGTGAATTCAGAAAGGCCTCAGGCTGCCGGAGTACTGTACTGCTTCGGGTAAGGGGTGTAGGAGGTTCAGTAGTATGAGCCTGTGAGGTTGATTTCTGCTCCGTAGGCGCTTTTTCAGGAGGAACGATCCTACTATCAAGGGTAACGACGCCTTGTGAGAGCAGCATTCGATAGTTCGCGGACAGCTGCGATTTCGGGCACGGTCATCGAGGATTGCGATATATATTGAATCTGAAGGTTCGGGAGTGCGCGAATTATGTACCCTGCTCAGGGTCCTTTCGAATTTGGTGGGGCGTTAACGGGGGCAAGTAGGACCGCAGTAGCACTCCCAAGAACCTGGCAGATGAAGGCGATGCGGCCCTGGTAGCTCTTAGAGACGTGCCTAGATCCCGCCGGGATTTGGATTGTGTTTTCATATGGTTTAGAAGAGAGATAAGCCAGCATACCGTTTCTCTGCGCTGTCTTCCTCACTGCTCGTCTTTGTCAAGGCACTGAACGCTTTCTGTGAATCGAGCGATGAATCGAGCACGTTTCTGCAATAGGATGTAATCTTTTCCCTATCCCTAAGAATCACGCACCACCGACAGATCAAATCTCTTACCCGTTTTCCGCGTCTTTTTCGTCATCGGAACTGTTTTCAGCAGACGCATCGGACTGCGTCTTACGATTTGGCTTTGGGTTATTCGAGTCCAGCGACGAGAACAGTTCGTCGCCGTCCTGGTCGACATTCGTCCGCTGACCGGACATTTTTCGTACTGGTGGTGTCGGACTAACACGTGGTTCCGGTGATGAAAGTGGATTAACGTATGGGTTCACTGGAGGGTGGTAGATCTGGTTACCATAGCTGAAATGGAAATCGATTATTGATTTTCTTCGACTCACGTGAGAAATCTAAGGGCACAACTAGATTCTAATGGTTGTTCTACTACTATATAGCGCTCAAGGCACGTACGTTGAAGAGTCCCCGGCGACGGGGGAATGGGAGCGGGCCATTCCTGGTCCCCGGAGGAGAGGGGAGGTCGCCTTCAGTCGTCAGAGGGAGGAGTTCGTATTTCACACAAGGAGCTCTTTTTTATTGCAGATTTTTCCTGTTTACGCGTGCTGTGTTCATCGTTGGGAGACTTAGAGTGATGAGGGGGCGTATTAGAGGAGAAATATCGGGGGGGGGGGAGGCGGCGTGTGCTGCAACAGCCCCGATGCTCCGCTCCACTCGTACTGAAATCGTAATGGTTCACTGAATGCGATATGGCCCGCGTAATTACTTGAGGAGGTAACCTACTTGATAACCTTTACCGAAAGCTTACCTAACAACCCGCGACGGAGGGACCGGTTCAGCCACGGGGGCAAGATGATGATCGGATACTGTGGGTGTCATTACAGCAGTGCTGCCAGCAGAACGAAGTGCTTCTTGATAGGACGATGATTGCGGAAGATTAGAGACATTCAACTCGGTTGGATCGTCGTAAGGTGTTGGAGATTGCGCGGCTCTTTCTTGGATCATCGAACGAGCCCTGGAAATCGACGATCGATTATTGATTTTTCATAACGCACCGAAACAGCACAAAGTGCTTACCGTTGTCGTCGACAACAATTCTCATTGTTACAGTCACAACAAAGATCCAAATCGAAGTGCATCGGTGATGGATACGAGGCTCGTTGTGCTTTTCCGCGATCTGAAGAGGTTGGAGAAATTGGGTGAGAAGAGGTTAGAGACGCAGAGATTGAAATTTTTGAACTCTCCATGAGATGACGGTTTTCAAAATCCCTTTATTACTAGGGAACCTCTTTCTAAACAGGCAAATGTCCAAAATATTCTCATTTTCATAGTGGCTTTAAGGCTTCTGATCTCTCGTAACAATCGAACAGATCGATAATCGACCCTCTGGGATCGATCACTGATTCTCGCTCGATTCCGCAGTTGTAAAACCATTGCCATTCAATTTTAATTCGTCGTACCATCGCCATGCAAATTTCATTCTTTTTATTGAAAATGCAGCGAAGCGCCTTGATTGTGGGATTTGAAAATGGGTGGCGATATTCGATCGATTATCGATTATATGGATTTTAAGTCTCCTGAAACTTGTGCTCACTTTGTGGTATTCGAGCCGGACTGTCGCGTTGGAACGTCGATGACCGTTTCGGTTTTCGTCGCTGAACAATTCGGCCATCTGACCAACGACCGTCCGCGTTTCGAAACAGCGTCTGGGAGTAGACTACCTGAAACTGACCACAGTAGCTTGCTAAAAGTTTACGGTAAGTACGTGCGTACTGTAAGACGTACCTGCTGTCCTCCAGGCAGTACCGTCTGGTCGTTCCACATTTGCACACCGCTATCCTCAGACATTCCACTGGTCCGTGCCGGTGAGTTCCGTACCAAATCAGCGCAGTACTGCGACGAGGACGAATGTCGCATATACGGACTGCGAGAGAAGGCTGTAAAGGTCGTGGATGCGGAACTGCGTGACATTCGGTAGATGACGGTACGGTACTTACGGCTATGATGTCCGCGAACCGGTGACTCACGTAAGGTGCTGTCACGACGTCGAGTCACACCAATTGAACTTCGCGACGAGGACTGACGCGAGAATGTCGCCGAAACGGATGACGGGAAGCCAGAGGAGCTAAAATGCTAGGTTTGAGTGAAGATTACAGGCTTTCGTCCAAAATTCCAAGGGCGATAGGTTGAAAATTGGAGCTATACGTCGCACAGAGCCGATCAGCTACCTCATGGGGCGTAAGGATAAGCCCACCAAGCAGGTAAAAAATGGGCAACTCATCGGTGATATCAAGTAGTGCGTCGCCTCGAGGCCTCATGGTAATCTAAAAGTTCATCAACAAGGCAGAGCCGCAAAGTTCTTGCTTTTTATTATTGGTTATTTTTAGTCTACTATTGATTTATTAAATGTCTCGATCCATTTTCGAAACTTATTTGGTTCCCAAAATAACCTGTGCGGGTGAATGACTCGTCATTTCAGTCAGTTTCAACACCACTGACCACGTGAACCTCGGACCCGGAAGGCCGTGAATTCTAGTCATCAGTGGGCGGGGCCTGTTTGAGGCTCACTTCTCTTGGGGCTCGTCCAGTCAACACCTTCGCTTCATATCGTGCCTTATCGTGGTCCTTTCACGAATCCGACTTCATTGTTCTGCAGTTTATCACTCTCAGTTGTTTCTTGTCTCTTTTTACAGTGCACCAGTCTATTCTTCGGTCAACTATCAGTACTGACACACTCTGATGTTCCCACCCATGTAATGAAGTTTTGCTGCGGATTTTAATACTCATTTTGCGTTCCAAGCTTGAATCAGACGCAAAATGAATAAAGTTTCGTCGTAGAGGCTGTTGAGGACCTCTAATTTCACTGTATGCTACCGTAGGCGGCGGTCCATATGTGAGGTCCCAAGGACCGGTTTCCTATAGAATAGGTGTTTCGAAACCGCAGCTTAGTCATGATTTCCTCAGTTCGTCATTTCATCATTAATCCAGTCCACGTGTCGTTTTCTTCACGATTCGGAACCTCCGTCTTCTACTTATAGCCTGTTGTAACCCGCTGATAGCTTATCTTTGTGTCATAAGGCTCTCCAGCTTCACACTGGCCAAGCTCGTGGCTACTGTGGCTTTAGGTTCGGCAGTACCCGATCGTCTTCTTTCCTTGTGGGTAAGTCAACTTCTGGTCGCTTGCGGATGCGTGATCCGAGGCATAACGTGGTCTGCATGTCACAATCCTTTACCCAAGGACATAGCTGGTACCCCGGACCATTCCAGGAGGGTGAATCCCTAGTTCTGCGTGGGAATTTTTCCAGAACTGAAAATTATGCAATCCATAAAGTGCTTAGAGCTACGACATATGGTCCAAGTTTCCACATCCTTTTATTTTTCGATTTATGCTCCATGGACCCTCCCTGGTAACATCGTTGCCATGGACGAGGAGCTTAACAGAGACGAAACATTTGGCCCAGAACAGCAAGGGTGTTTGTATTCGTAGTGGTAGCCAAGAAACCTCTGGAAGGGAACGCTCTGGGAGTGACAGATCAGAACAGAAGTTTAGACTGAGCAATGGTCAGGGGCAAGTTTGACCTTAGTAGGTGGGCCTAGAGGCAGTAGACACGATTATTTGGGTCTTC